AAGTCCAGCGACACAGCCATTACGCTAACTGCTGGTTCCCTAAAATTTATATTTTTATTTTAATATCCTAATAATTATTCTGTACAATTCTCTCTCTTTCACTTTGATTTTCTAGTTTTCCAAGTTTTAGTTTTTCATTTACTTTCAGTCTTTTTTTCCCTTTTCTTTCTCTTGCTAGAAGGCAAGGAATATGCTCCACGTAACATATACCGACTGTCCACTCTCTATGGTAGACTGAAAGACTGGAGGACACAAAAGCATTGAAAACTGTATGGACACTAGAGATAAAGTGGAAGGAGAGTGTGGGAAGGGAAGAGTGTAGGAAAGGAAGTTTGGGGAAAAAAACAGAGAAGTAAGACATTTGTGGGACACAGATATGGTTTATTATCGTTAAAGAGGATGTGTACAGTATTCTCAACTGGGCTGTACTGAGGTGTATATCATGCTGGGTAAAGTCTCTACAATCTAAATGATGTACAGTGATTAAATGTATAAATACTAATAATAAACAAGTAAATGTAAAAACAAATATGTTCTTGTCAAAGAAAGGAAAAGAGAGAAAAGGAGGGAAAAAAGCACTCCCATGTCAAATGGCCAGACCACAATCCCTTCTCCTCTCTCTCTCCCTCCTTTTGGGATTTTGGTTATGCAGGCACACACACCTGGTGTATTTTTCAAGTTGCTTGGTGTGGTACTCAGACCATATGGTCAGTCATGTAGGATGTGGCTCCTTAACCACCAGGCCACAGAGCCAGTACTTCAGTCTTTTTTCTAAGAAGTTAATTTAAAAACCTAAATTAGCACCAGAACATAAATATTAATCCATAGTGGTTTTGTTGTTACTTGTTTCTACATAACCAGTTTTTCTGATTTCTTTTTTTTAGTGTAGTAAAATACACATAACATAAAATTTAACATGTATGGTAACATGCTTGAATATATATTTTTTTTTAGAGAGGTTTTTGCTATAGGGTGCATGCGCTCGCCAGACAGAGAGACAGAAGGTGAAAAATCACCCCCCAGGGGGAATAGTCACGCTGCAATCCCTTCTCCATTCTCTTCTCAGGATCTTGGGCATGCACACACACGTGCCCAGCCTGAGTTTAAGCCACTGGGTCCAGGACTTGAACCGTGGTCGACTACATGGGAGTCCAGCAACGTAGCCATTGCGCTAACTGCTCGTTCCAAACATTTTTAAGTGTACAGTTCAGTGGTAAAGAATACATTCACACTGTATATAATCATTAAAACTCTTATTTTTCTTTTTTAGAGATATTTTTACTATAGGGTATGTGTGCTCACCAGAGAAACAGAGAAAGACAAAGACAGAAAGCGAGAAATCACCCCCCCCGGGGGGGGGTGGCCATGCCCTAATCTCTTCTCCATTCTCCTCTCAGGATTTTGGGCACACATGTACACGCACCAGTGTGAGCTTTAACCCACCAGGTCCAGGACTTGAACTGCGGTTGACTACATGGAGTCCAGTGACATAACCATTACATCATCTGCTGGTCCTACAACTCTATTTTTGCAAAACTTTTTCATCTTCCCAAATAACAACTCCCTACCTATTAAAAAAGATAACTCATTTTCTAGTACCCCAGCCACTGGCAACCACATTCTGTTTTCTGACTCTCTGAATTTGATTACTTATAGTACAGCATATTAGTAAAATCATACAGTTTTTGTCTATTTTTGGCAAAAGAGAATCCTTTCATTGGTGATATTAGAGGAAAAACACTCTGCCTTTCACCATTGACTACGATATTTGCTGTGGGTTTTTCAAAAAGTTTTTTCATAAATGTTCTTTAAGGTAATTTCTTTCTATTTTTCATTTGTTGAGTGCTTTTATTACAAGAGTGTTTAATTGTGTCAAATGTTTTCCTGTATCAATTGAAATTATTATGTTTTTTCCCCTTAATTCATTAAGGTGATGTATTACATTGATATTTTTTCTAGGATGTTGAACTATCCTTGAATTCCATGTAAAAAAAATCCTACTTAGTATTTTCACAATGTACCGTCCTTTCAATATGTCATTGAATGCAGACTGCTGGCATTTTATTAAGTATTTTTGCATTAATATTCGTAGGAGATACTGGTCTGTAGTTTTCTTGTTAGTGTCTTGTCTGACACTGGCATTGGAGCAATGTTAACCTCACAGACTAAATTAGGAAGAGTTCTATCTTTAGTTTTCTGAAAGAGTTTGACAAGGATTGATGTTAATTCTTCTTCAAATGTTTGGTGAAATTCACCAGTGAAGCCACCCAGTCCTGAGCTCTCTTTTTGGGACATATTGTCTTACCATTGAAATATTTTTACATAGTTACAGGTTTATTCAGGTTCTCTATTTCTTCATGATTCAGTCTTAACAAACTGCATATTCCTAGGAGTTCGGTCATTTAACCTATGCTATTTAATTTGTTGGCATACAATTGTTCATAGTAGTCTCTTACCATCATTTTCATTTCTTTAAAATTGGTAATAATAATCCTTCTGTGAGAAAGTAATTAATGAGCTGACTCTAAAACAAATTCCTTGCTCTCCTCCATATTTTCACTTCTGACTTCAGTTATTTGAGTCTTTTCTCAGTCTATCTAGCTAAAGGTTTGTCAGTTTTCTTGATATTTTTGAAGAACCAACCACCTTTTGGTTTTGCTGATTTTCTCTGTTGTTTTTCTAGTTGCTACTTTATTTATCTCTGCTCTATCTTATTTCCCTTTTGGCTAGCTTTGGGTTTAGTTCACTCTCCTTATAGTTCTTTAACATGAAAAATTCTAACATGATTTTACTTCTCTGCCATCCTGACACTGGTGATTTACTGAAATTATATATAGTTTTAGTTCTTGGTTGTTATTAATTTTTAAATACCATCCTTTATATTTTCAGGAGCTTTTTTTCTTTACAATTGCAGTACATCTCTCAGCCAAAATATAAAAAATTTTTAGATTTAATATAAATACCAGAACTTTCTTTGAATATCACTGATTTTTACATATTTGAGCTTCTTTGTGTATACATTAATGATTTCATTTGTTGGGTTATATCCTTGAGCAATGTTTTCAGACCATGAGTAACACATTTTTTTGGTTTCTGTATGTCAACAGTTAATTAATTAATTAATTAATTAATTTTTTTGTGAGGTTTTCACTATAGGGTGCGTGCGTTCACCAGACAGACAGAAAGCAACAGAGAGACAGAAAGCAAGAAATCACCCCCCAGGGGGGATGGTCACGCCGTAATCCCTTCTCCTCCATTCTCTTCTCGGGATCTTGGGCATGCATGCACATGCGCCCAGTGTGAGTTTTAAGCTACCGGGTCAGGGATGCGAACCGTGGTCGACTACGTGGGAGTCCAGCGACATAGCCATTATGCTAACTGCTGGTTCCCAACAGTTAATTTATTTTGTACTTACATATTGATATTTTAGCCACTGATAAGTACTACTAGTGAAAATTTTCTTTCACGTGTATTCATATAAATTTTGTCACTTTGACAACTATGTTGTCATCTGGAATCCTATAATCTAGACTTTGATTTGCAGAAATAAGTCTGATTCTCATTTCTTTTATAATAACGTGTTTTTTTTTTTTTCCTTTTTGTTTGGCTTTTATAAGTTATTCTCTCCCTTTCTCACTTTGGAGTATTTTACCCCTTCTCTTTGTTTCTAGAACTTAGGAATATTACCAAGACATGTGTTTTCTCTCCTTCTTGGTCATTATTCCTGTTTACACAGTGACCCTTCAAAATTAAGAGAATTTTCCTCCAGTTATATCATCAATTACTTCCCCCATGCTCAAGTCCCTCTGTTTTTATTTGTGCAATAGAAACATGATAATTTCTGGGATTTTTCCTCAATTTCTCCTATATGTATTTGCTTCTTGGCTGTATGTCTTAAAATATTCATTCCTTTAATCTTCCATAGCGACTTCCATCTTTAGCCCTCTCCACTATAATTTAGCCTTCTCGACCTAATTATTTTGGCATAGCTTTAATCTCTAAGAACTATTTTTGTTTTCTATGTATTTTTTTAAAAATAATTATTTATCTAACTTTATTATGATTATTATTCATATTTGACCAGAGAGACAGATAGAGTGAGAAAACAAGCCATCAGGTCCAGGACTTGAACCAAGGTCAGCCATGTGGGAATCTAGCACCTTAACCATCATGCCACCTGCTGGCCCCTGTTTTCTATGTATTTTTTTTTCCTTAGTGTCCTATTCTTATTTTATTCCCTTCAGTGCCTGTTTTTCACCTTGGCCCTGTTCTTTCATGCTGCTAGTTTTATTAAATGTCTCATAATTATGGTCTAGGAGTACATGTAGGTAATAGGTCTATTTAATCACTTCTCCTTTTTGTGTCCTGTGGAAACCTGGGAGTACTTCAGGTTTGGCCCCACTTTGTAATCTGGTTCCAACACCCTCCTAAGAGCTTTTCTAGTCAGATTTCCTACTCACTTATACAACTACTATTTCAACTTTAATCAAAAAGTATCTGTTCATGCCAACTCCTCAGTAAATATGGTGGAGGGCAAGGAATTTGTTTTAGATTCAGCACATTAATTAATTTCTCAGACAAATGTGCTGTGGTCTACTAAGCTGTGGTTACTACCCCATGCTTGAAATTTCTCTGTTCTCTCCTACAGATTTTGGATTTTGGTTTTTTTCTCTGCTGATTTCTTGATCACAGATTTGATCTGCTTTCCACCTTCTGGGAGTTTCTCAAAACTTCTGATCTACAGGAGTGAACTTCCCTATTTTTTTGGTAGCATTCTTAAATCACTTCTGTCATACTAATGGGATTTGGAGCTGTATGGGAAACAAATGGATATTATCTACCTGCTATTTAGATTTGGAAGTTCAGTTATCTTAAAAAGTTTTCATAAGGTATCATCTCTCCTATAATCATAGTCATATTATTAGGCAACCTAAAAGGTTCAGGAGTGTCTTTAGATTAAAAGTACTTGCAGATCATATTAAATTTTGTCAGTATTATACCTGTCAATGGCTTGAAGGTCATTGGCCGGATTCCAAGTAGGATCAAATAATACAACAACATTGGCACCAACAAAATTGAGGCCTAGTCCACCAGCCCTAAAGGAACAGAAAAGTATACATTAAAACAGTGAAATACTAATTGTGTTCTAACTCAGCTGGGGTAGGTTTATACAGCAAAAACAATAAAATTTGCAGTAACAGCATCAGGAAGTTGATTAAAAGACAAATATACTACAAATGAAGTATCTGAAGTATATTCTTTTTTAGCACTCAAAAAAATTCCTTAAAAACATCAACCATTATGACCAGTTCTGTGGTACAGTAGTAACGTATCACTAAGAGGAGCCAGATCCAACATGCCAACCACAAATCCCTAGCCTGGTCAGCTTGAAACATGCCAGGCATGTGTGCAAGTGCAGTGAATCCAACGGGCTAGAGAACTAGAGGACGGAAATTGTGGTGTGAATGAATTCTACGGAGGGTACTCAGTTCTCTCTTTCTCTTTCTCTCACATGAATGTGCACATGCTCTACCATGAATAAAGAAAAAAAAATTGGCCTTTAAAGTTCATGTAAATAGGTTTTGCTGGTTTTGTCATTTTTTTTTAAATACTAAAAACTATTCTTGCAAGACTTTTCTAACATAATTTTTTTAAACTGTTGGTATGTATTTTAGCTAAATAAAGTAATATATACTCTACTTTTTTAGAAAGAGATTTTTATTATAGGGAGCATGCACTTGCCAGAAAGACAGAGAGGGACAGAGAGACAGTAAGTGAGAAATTATCCTGGAGGGATTGCCCCATTCGCAATCCCTTCTCCTCCATTCTCCTTTCAGGATTTTGGGCACATACACACAAAGTGCCCAGTATGAGTTTTAAGCTGACAGGTCTGGGACTCAAAGTTCAGTCAACCACGTGAGAGTCCAGTGCTATAACCGTTACGCCACCTGCTGGTCCCAAGTAATACATATATTTAAAAACTCAATCTAGAAAGACATCCATCTCCATTTCTCTTCGTAAAATCTCTGAACATTATACATAAGTAAACATAAGGCTCTGACAGGTGATGAGAAGACAGACAGGCTAGGGATCATGAGACTCAAGAAATAACATGGCAGTGAGTTTCTGGCTTTCTTTTGCTTAATATATACCAAGTTGGGTTCCCAGGAAGCTAGTGAACTGACAATACCAATAGTCACAGACTAAAAATGCTCCAAGAAAGTTTTCTCCCTTTGGCTAAACAACTGGGAAAGGTATAACATTGCAAGACAGAAAGTGTTAAATGAAAACCACCCTATTCCTGCCAAATACCAAGAAATGATCTGTGGTCCCATCCCACTCTATTCAGCAAAGGATGTGAGATTTTTACCCTTGCCTGGCTATAATGAGGTACCACTCATCCCTGCTGAGATGATGTTAGGGAAAACTAAGTGGGGAGATGGGACTTACATTTTCTGCCCAAAGATAACAGAGATCCCCTCTATGGTGTTAGGGGAGGCCATGTGGAAGCAGTAATGAGGAACCTTCTTCTCAAGATATTAGCAAATGCTAAACAGAAAACCTAAATTTCCACCTCTCCTTAGTTGGCATGGTGCCAGAGGAGGCATACTAAAACAAAAGATATATAAGATATATAAAATATAGAGTCTCATAATACTCAAAATGTCCAGGACACAATAAAAGTCACTTACAACAAGATCCAGGAAAATCTTAGTTTAAAAGAGAAAAGACAATCAATAGATGGTAACACTGAGATGAATATGATGTTGGAATTATCAGTCATCATTAGAATGCCGCAACGAGCAATACAAACATGCTTGAAACAGTCTTTCAAAATAGAGTCTCAACAAAGAAAGAGGATATAAAGAACCAAATGAAAATGTTAAAACTGAAATACAAATCTTTCTGATAGACTCAATAGTAGAGTAGATAGAACCAATAGTGCCAAGGATAGAATAAATAACTATAATGAAAGTAATTATTTACCAAATCTAAGTAACAGAAAATAGACTGAAAAAAAAAAAAATCAAGAGTCTGAGGCCAGCAGAGGACACAGCAGTTACATCGCTGGACTCTTCTATGGCTGACTGTGGTTCAAGTCCCAGCCCCAGTGGCTTGAAAATCACATGGGTGTGTGCGTGCACAAAATCCTGGGAGGACAATGAAGGAGAAGAGTTTGTGGCGTGGCCGTCCCTGCGGGGGATAATTTCTCACTTTCCCTCTCACTGTCTGTCTGTCTCCAATGAGCGCACATGCCTTAACAGAAAAACCTCTTCAATAAAGAGAGAGACCTGAGGGATAACAACAGGAGAGCCAACGCCTATCACTGGAGTGCTTGAAAGAAGAGAGAAAGAGACTGAGAAGTTTTCAGGGTTACATAGCTGAAAACATCCTACATTTAACAAAAGACAAACCTGTAGATTCAAGAAGTTCAGTGAAATTCAACCAAAGGAAAAAAAAAACAACAACAAAAGACAAAACAAGGAAAAAATCATGACTGCATCCAGAGAAAACCAACTCATTCCTTTTAGGGGAACATCAATTCAATTGACTGGATTTCTCATCAAAAACAATGGCGGCCAGAAGGAAGCAGCACATTTTTCAAATGCTAAAAGAAAAGAAGTGTCTAACCCAAACATCCTATAACCAGTAAAAATATCCTTCAAGAAGAAAAAGAAAATGATGACATTCTCAGATTATGGAAAACTAAGATAATTTGTCACTCGCACACTTATCCTAAAAGAATGGCTAATAGAGGTTCTTTAAACAGAATGGAACTGATAACAAAAGAAAGGTTGGAACTTTAGAAAGAAGAACATCAGAATAGGTTTAAAAAAATTACAGGTTCAGGCCGGCAAGTGGCATGGTGGTTGAGATGCTGAACTCCAACATGGCCAATTGTGGTTCAAATCCCAGCCCTGGCAGCTTGCTTTCTCACTTTCCCTCCCTCTCTCTCTCTCCCTGTTCAAATTAAAATATTATAATGATAATGAATAAAATTAAATAAATAATTCTTCAAAAACAGGTGAAATTAAAAACTATTCTATTTCTCATGAGTTTCATGAATCATATTTCATGGTTAAAGGAAAATTGTAACACCATTTGATGTACTACTCAATGTATGTAGAAGAAATACCTCAGATAAGTATATTGTAAAAACGGAGTGGGAAAAAGTACTTACACATTGGTAAGTTTTCTACATGTCATTCAAACTGGCAAAACTGTATACGAGTAGATTATGAGAAGTTACTATGTATATCATAATAGGAAGAGCAACCACTAAGAAACTACACAATCTACTCAAAATAAAAAAAACTAGTGAACTACTCAAAAATACAATAAATAAATTTAAATAAGAGAAGCAGTAGAACCAGGAATGGGAAATAAACAAAAATGAAATAAAATATATCAATAATTACTAAATGTAATGGCCTAAATATATCACTTAAAAACAAAGACTAGCAGAGCTGATAAAAAAAAAAAAAAAAAACCAAAGGAAAAGAAAACATAATCTGGGAACCAGCAGAGAGTAGATAGAACCAATAGTGCCAAGGATAGAATAAATAACTATAATGAAAGTAATTATTTACCAAATCTAAGTAACAGAAAATAGACTGAAAAAAAAAAAATCAAGAGTCTGAGGCCAGCAGAGGACACAGCAGTTACATCGCTGGACTCTTCTATGGCTGACTGTGGTTCAAGTCCCAGCCCCAGTGGCTTGAAAATCACATGGGTGTGTGCGTGCACAAAATCCTGGGAGGACAATGAAGGAGAAGAGTTTGTGGCGTGGCCGTCCCTGCGGGGGATAATTTCTCACTTTCCCTCTCACTGTCTGTCTGTCTCCAATGAGCGCACATGCCTTAACAGAAAAACCTCTTCAATAAAGAGAGAGACCTGAGGGATAACAACAGGAGAGCCAACGCCTATCACTGGAGTGCTTGAAAGAAGAGAGAAAGAGACTGAGAAGTTTTCAGGGTTACATAGCTGAAAACATCCTACATTTAACAAAAGACAAACCTGTAGATTCAAGAAGTTCAGTGAAATTCAACCAAAGGAAAAAAAAAACAACAACAAAAGACAAAACAAGGAAAAAATCATGACTGCATCCAGAGAAAACCAACTCATTCCTTTTAGGGGAACATCAATTCAATTGACTGGATTTCTCATCAAAAACAATGGCGGCCAGAAGGAAGCAGCACATTTTTCAAATGCTAAAAGAAAAGAAGTGTCTAACCCAAACATCCTATAACCAGTAAAAATATCCTTCAAGAAGAAAAAGAAAATGACGACATTCTCAGATTATGGAAAACTAAGATAATTTGTCACTCGCACACTTATCCTAAAAGAATGGCTAATAGAGGTTCTTTAAACAGAATGGAACTGATAACAAAAGAAAGGTTGGAACTTTAGAAAGAAGAACATCAGAATAGGTTTAAAAAAATTACAGGTTCAGGCCGGCAAGTGGCATGGTGGTTGAGATGCTGAACTCCAACATGGCCAATTGTGGTTCAAATCCCAGCCCTGGCAGCTTGCTTTCTCACTTTCCCTCCCTCTCTCTCTCTCCCTGTTCAAATTAAAATATTATAATGATAATGAATAAAATTAAATAAATAATTCTTCAAAAACAGGTGAAATTAAAAACTATTCTATTTCTCATGAGTTTCATGAATCATATTTCATGGTTAAAGGAAAATTGTAACACCATTTGATGTACTACTCAATGTATGTAGAAGAAATACCTCAGATAAGTATATTGTAAAAACGGAGTGGGAAAAAGTACTTACACATTGGTAAGTTTTCTACATGTCATTCAAACTGGCAAAACTGTATACGAGTAGATTATGAGAAGTTACTATGTATATCATAATAGGAAGAGCAACCACTAAGAAACTACACAATCTACTCAAAATAAAAAAAACTAGTGAACTACTCAAAAATACAATAAATAAATTTAAATAAGAGAAGCAGTAGAACCAGGAATGGGAAATAAACAAAAATGAAATAAAATATATCAATAATTACTAAATGTAATGGCCTAAATATATCACTTAAAAACAAAGACTAGCAGAGCTGATAAAAAAAAAAAAAAAAAACC